TTCTTTTTTTGCTGTAGAGACCACATGAGTGGCGTAGCTAATGATCTTACAGTGTATGGGGTCGAACGTCATGATTTTGTTGACTGTTATGCGCTTGTCCTCCCATCCTTGCCATTCCAATTGAGCTTAACACCAGTCAGTACTCCCGTCCTTGCGATTGCAATTGAGATTAACAGCAGTCAGTGATTCTTTGCAAGTTATACAAGTTTGAGAGAAGCTCGAGTTTGTTTTTGGTCATGCAACTTTGAAACCAGAAATCTTGACCATTGAACTATCACCACCGGACAAAGTTGACTTTGTACTTTCTGATAAAAACAGCTTTATTTTCTAAAAATAAAAATCCATAACTAACTTATTTTAATAAAAAAATATGAAACTAGTACCAATATTTTTTTTTCTAAAGATATAATGTCTCTATTGGGCCAGCTCGCCGGCGTGGCGTCTCCGGCCGGCGAGCGGACTAGCCGGCACCACCGCCGCCGCCGTCGTCTCCGGGCTAGTACTGTAACGGTCGTGTCCCGGCGTCATGATCTTCACCCCGAAGCTGATCAGGCGGCCGGAGCAACTGACGTTTCTGAACGAGGCGGCCGGGCTGGCGTCGCTGGCCGTGATCAGGCGCGCGCGGCGGGTGCGGGGAGGTGTACAAGGCACAGCTGTGGACGACGGACGACTGTGGCCGACTTGTCAAAACCGCGAACGGCGGACAGTGGGAAGCAACTGAGATCGAAAAAGAAATTACGGTCATATCACTTTGTATCTGTATATACACCTTGATTCATACGTCAACTTTTAACATGGCATACGTATGAGCCGGCGTCTTTTTTTTATTGTTTGCTATCGTGACAAAGGCATCAATAAATCCTGACAAATTATATGGCGCGAGCTCTCATAACACGCTTATCATGTGTGACCGTCCTTATCCATGCATGATAGCATCTTCTGGATCCACACTAACATCGTTCGGACTAGTCTGATCTAACATATTGTTTTTTTATTGTTTGCTATCGTGACAGAGGTACAACAGCAATAAACCCTGACAAATCATATGGTGCGAGCTCTCGTAACGCGCTAATCATGTGCGACCGTTCTTATCCATGCCTGATAGAATCTTCTGGATCCACACTGACATCGTTCAGACTAGCCTGACCCAACACATTGTTTTTTTATTGTTTGCTATCATGACAGAGGTACAACATCAATAAACCCTGACAAATCATATGGCGCGAGCTCTCATAACGTGTTAATCATGTGCGACCGTCCTTAACCATGCCTGATAGAATGTCGTAGCTCCTAGATCCATACTAACATCGTTTAGACTAGCCTCACATTGTTCTAAGTGATCGGAGAAACCTTTAAAATGCCTGCTCATTGTTTAGTTTTTTGAACGAAGGGGCAAGCGGACAACAATAAAACATTTGTTTTTCCCGGGCCAATACTTGCGTGGTTGCTCCCCACCTTATCCGATAACGAGGCGGAGGAGGCACGTGTGACCGTATCAAGTGATACTCTCGTGTACTAGTTTGGATAACTAGAATCCGGCCAGATAACTACTGAACAAATCTTGATTTACTATGTACACGTGCAGGAATCTAATGGAGAAACTCACAAGATTTGCTCGTGGCTGCGTGTGATCTTGAACCTTGTCCCTGGTTCCGGCTTGAGGACGAAGTACGTGGAACACGTACGGCGGCATCAATGGCCGTGTCGTCGTCGTCTCCTCCAGCCAAGCACGACCCACGGGAGAAAGGCCGGGCCACCGTGCGTTGCCGCCGACATCACAGCATGTCAGGCCGGGGAGGCGTCGTTGCTTGCCTGGGACAAATCATGCTGCAGGATGCTGATCGATCTCCAAGAGCTGTTCATTGCCGACTCCGTCGCTGCTGCTGCACCAGGGAGGAGCCATGGCTGCCAGAAGGATACTTCCCACACCGGCCGGCGCCGAGATAGGACAGGTGATGGAAGTGCAACGCTACCCCAGCTGACCCCTCTTCGGTGAACTCTATCATAGACGTATAGTCGCGTGCAATGTGGAAGGCGATTCAAACATGTTCAACCATTCTGTCAACTATACCATTGAAAAAAAAACATATTTTACGCGCGCGTATAATAATCTATACGTATATACATACATGGAGTGCATCGTTATTACTGGTGTCTGAGGAATTCACTTCGGCCGCTGGGTCAACAATAGCAGCAGCACCACCACCGAAGGCAGAGTGTTTGCCTCAGCTCCATGCATGGCGCCGGCGGCTAATGCAAATCGATGGCCTGTGTGTGCCTGGATGCCGGTTACTCCTCGTTGTCCTTCTTCTCCTCGTTGTTGTTCACCACGCACGGGGAGGAGCTAGGGCCTTCAAGTGGTGGAACTGGAATACCTCCACCTGAAAGAAGATTTTCCATATCAGAGGATATTGTCTACTACTATATCCTGAATTTCTTGCAAGATAAGCAGACTAAAGTAACCAAAAAATAAAATCAAAACTTTTTACGAGGAGTGCTGATTTTTTTTAGCATAGAGAGGCCCATGGAAGACCCGCTGATAAAGGTGAAGACGTTTCTTCAACTTCGCTAACAAGGATTTGACTTCGCTACAAACAAAAAGAATTTGGGGCGAAGACAAAGTCTCGACTCCGCTCAAAGGGCGAAGACAAAAGATTCAAGGCAGGAAATCAATTCAAGACTTAGAGGTGAAGACAGAATGAGACGATTCAATCCTGAAGAATGAAGACCGCGAAGAGTAAAAAGACAACTTCGCCCCTGTAGTTTAAAGGGGTTGTATTAATTTGAAAGATAAAATGGTCATTTGTATATAGATTACGAAGGCTAGAACCTCTATAAATACCCCCTCCGACATGGTGCGGGGGAGCGCAGTGCGAGACGCGAGGCACGAGGCACAGACGGCGTGAGGAACAGGCGGGGTGCGTGGCACGAGGCGGGTCCGCCATGAGGCGTAGGAGCGCACGGCACGAGGTGGTTCTATCCCGGTGGAAGTGACATTTCTTTTAATAATGGGTCAGTCATACCTGGTCCGCAGGCCCAACGAAGACGTCCGTCCGGCCGTTCGGACGCTTGGTAGAGAGCATTACCGATGTATATATAGTCCTATCACGGCTAAAGCATATGCAAAGCAGATTATAGAGTACTCTATCCGTGTGTTTGGTTTGAGGGTTTTGGTGGGTTGGAACGGGTCGAACCCAGATGGACCCGTGTTTGGATGGGGGATTGAGTAGAAAGGGGTCGACCGGGTTGGCATATTCCCCGAGATGCGGGTTCATCCGATTCCACCAAAATGAGGGGATGGAGTGGGTTCGACTGGTCGTCAGTCGCGCTTCGCGCGGGAAGAGTCGCGAGGTGCGCCGCCGCGGTCGCGGGCCACGACGCCATTGCAAAGCAGGTCCGGAACAGGGAGGGCGACGCTGGGTCGGGATCGAGTGGCACGACCTCCGGCTCGCACCATGGTGGCTCAAGGAGCTCCAACGGGAGGAGCAGACGGAGGAGGAGCAAGGGCGACACGCTGGGGGAGGGGCTGGGTGGCGCTAGTTCTGTGGGGGCAGCAGCTGGGCAAGCGGCCTCGGCCCAGCGGCAGGCAGCTGCCTCAGCTGTCAGGCGAGGCGAGCAGGCACGGCCTCAGCAGAAGAAGGAGAACGAAGGAACAGACACTGACAAACAGGGTCCACATGTCAATGACCCAACCTACTTCTAGATATTCTCCTATCCAAACACAGAACTGGAATCGATCCAACCTCCAAACCAAACAAGAGATGGGTTCAACCCAACCCATTAAAAATGGGTTAGGTCCACCCCATCCCACGTCATCCCCAAACCAAACACATGGTATATACATCTGGTGACATATGAACAGGCAGTAGCTTATAGCAGCGACGCTGAATCACACACCTATATATATAGTACATGTTCTGCATTACAAGCACAAGAGAGCAAAAACAATACACTCTGTGAAACAACGCATTACATTACAATTCGATCTAATTGTTTTCTTGCAATCTTGCTGCTACCACAGTAACCTGATCCTGAGAATGAAATCAGACCAACGCTGAGCTACTAGGACACCACACAACATAGTGCGTTTTGATGATCTGCAAACACAGGACTCTGCAGAAAAGGAAACAATCACAGGTCTGAAACAAGCACCTTGATAGTTATGCATGCTGGGGTGATCAGGAGTACATAGTTAAGGGCACAAATCAGGGCAAAACGACAAACAGGATGAATAAGATTCTGGGGACTAAACCACTAAATAACAGCCGATCATCTAGAGATGAATGCCCATCACTGCTAGAGTGCTAGTAGCTGTTGACGTCTTGCATGACATGGCTAAGCCTCCATACAGATGCTCCCAACCATGCTGCTCTGTCACCTCAAAGTCAAGAGAGCAGACCTACCAAAGAATACAGTGTTAGAATAATCAAGAGGGACTTGAGCAAAGTTAGATGACTGGCCCTGTTCGCTTCGCTGAAAAGACATGGCTGAAAGTACTGTTCGCTGATTCGTTGTGAGAGAAAAACACTGTTCCTTCGCTGAAACAGTACGGCTCATAAGACAAGTGAATAGGGCCTATCTACTTGTGCATGTGAAACAAGCTATTCATTCTATCCGTTAATGCAAATTTGAAATCTATCAAAAGGAATGCATATCAATGATTAACCCAGTGCATTTTTTTTAAAAGAAAAACAGAGACCAATTTGTCTGCTCAAGTATTCAGGCACTATACAAATTTGCCTGTCCTAATATTCAGGCGCTAGCTACAGAATACAGAGTACACCAAAAAAATTTGTAAATGACATACAATACAAAATTAATCCAAAACGCCAAAGGATCACATGGACTACAAGGGCTCCATGGTGACAATGGTGGAAACGAGAAAATTTGGATATGCCAGCAGCAAGTGCACTTTGGTAACAAGTAGGATGACATAGCAAACCACCAATACAATATAATTCCCAACAGCTGAAGAAACATGGAAGACAGTTTTTACCATTTCATATGCTTGGCAGTGCCAACGGTGGTGGAAATCTTGCATAAGGAAAACCACAGAACATGCCATCGTTCAAGGTGCAGAGCTTCTCAACAAGCAATGTCTTAATGTCCAGTACAAAAAGTTCAGAATTTGGCGACGACTCATCACAGATTGGGTCATGAGCCACTAGAGCTACATAACGCCCTACTGTGCCCACAATGTCCCAACTATAGTTGACCCCAGAGTCTTTGGGCAACGGAATCAGTTTGTCATGCTGCCACTCTTGTGCGCCAACACCATTGCTTTGCCAATTCTTGCAATACAGGCCAATTGTGCCATCACCAATAGTTAAGAACCCGAGTCTGCCGTCCTCTGCCTCGACAATGGCATGCATTGAACCAAAATCAAAATTGTGGGGCGGGAGGTCAATGATGGAGGATTTCATCTCACTTGTATCAAGCATTAGCGAATAGCCCTTGCCAAAGAACATCCAGAACAAGCAGCCGTGCGCATAGTAGGGCTTGCATCCAATAAATCCATTAGGCAAATAGATCGTGCTTATAATACCTTGCCACGTCTGGTTGCAGGAAGAGAAGACGAAAGCCATGACCTTGCGTTTGCCTTTGTCCTGCACAGTGCATATAACTCTGAACGATTCCTCCTCGTCATTGTCACCGGTTGGAGCCAGAACGGGTAACAGATGCCGCGCCGTACCATTGTCTGGGGTGGAGGCCGCCAGTAGGTCGTCCAGTATGCGGGGAATCTTGACGTACCGGCGATGCAAGGGGTCGCAGACTAGGAAATCCTCGAAGGCGATTGCGGCGGAGATGCGCCGGGAGAGGAGGACGCGGCCATCGCGGGCGTCGCGAGAGCTCCACGCGCTGGGGTCGGGGAGGAAGGAGAAGGTGAAGTCGGCGTCTTGCGCGAGCGCGCGGGCTTCCGGGGCGGAGCGGTGGGGCCGTCCGACGGGGAGGAATTCTCGGTATCCGTATCTGATCAACCCGAGGACTGGAGGGGAGTGGAGGGACCGGAAGCAGCGGACGAACCGGCGGTCGGAGACGATGCGGCGGAAGGAGGAGCAGCCGGCGGAGGCGCGGGCGAGGTCGGCCGCGGCGTCGAGGCGCAGGAAGATCTCCCCAGATCTCGTCAGGGAGGACGGTATGCGCCGCCGGGGCTCTGGCAGTACGGCGCGGCGCCGCCGTCGATGGTCGATGCCATCCGCGCCTGGTGCCTGCGCGTCGCTGCCTCTCGGTCGCGGGTGGGGAAGGAGGCGAGCGGGGCGCCCGGGGCGGGTGCGCGAGTCCGCGGCTCGCCTGCGACTGCGACTGCGAGTAGCTATTTCCCAGTTCGCACACTTCATACTCAGCGAAGAAAAAAGTCTGTAGCCTTTTACCAAGAGGGTAAGTTTACAGGTAAACACCCTATGTAGCCTAAAGCTAGAGCAAAGCAAACCTCCTAACAACGTGTAATAGTGATGGTGAGTCGGGGAGCGGCGCGGCGGTTGGGGACATGCCAGTTGCCAGCCGACAAGGATATGGTGTGACTCACACTCACACTTATATGTTTCCTGTTGGCTGTTGACATATGTACAGGCAGTAACCTATAGCAGTGACGCTGAATCACACACCACAGTACATGTTCTGCATTACAGGCACAAGAGAGCAAAAACAATACATGCTGTGAAACAACGCATTACATTACATTACGATCTAGTTGTTTTTTTTGGCAATCTTGCTGCTAACGCAATAACCTGAGATCCTGAGAATGAAATCAGATCAACGCTGAGCTACTAGGATACCGAAGGCGAAGATTGTTGATCCTCGGATATGATGAGCAGGACCACCATACCAATATTCACCATGATCCGTTCCAGGGATAACACTGTTGTGGTGGAAGGGCCTGCTGAGCAGAAGCAGATGCCACTGAGGCGTCATTGGTGGGGGCCAAGGGAGCTTGCATCTGGCTCTGTGTGCTCCCTTGACCTGATCTTGGGGTACCTGTATTAGACCAATGTAAACAAGGGATTAGCTGCTGCTTGTAAAGTAAAAGAAAGATAAGAATAATAAAATGCGCACCGCAATCAGTATTTCAATATTCTTCATCATGTTCACAAAAATTCAAGTTCTTGGTGATTAGCAGAAAATTCCCTTATCCTTTTCAGAATGTTTTTGTTTTACCAAATCAACAAATTTATATTTCGGAGCTGCCCTGGTATAGGCTTGTCCACTTAATTGAGATCGAGAGAGGCGTGAAAGAAGAGAGAATGAGGTTTTTAATTGACCTTGGAAGAGATACCAAATTTATATCTGAGTTTAGTACCGGCGGTACCCAAATTTGGTACCTACAGTACCAATTTTCAGTGGTACCTTCTAGGAACCTTTGGTTGTGTGTGGTTGCAGAGGCCAGAAACAATTCCATTTTCTAAGAAATGTACCTTTCCTGCTTTCCAAGGATGGTGAGAAGGCTTGAGAGACATACCAGGGATTATAGGTTGCTGTGGTGGTAACGCTGTATTGATGTGACCACAAGTTGATCCATCTAAGGTGCCATTGCTTAACCAGAAAAACTGACTTTGGATTTCCACAAGATCCAAGCCTGGTGTCACTGCAACAGAAAAAGGAGGAAAGGAAGCAAAGGGATGATGACTTGCAAGATAGGCAGTTGTGCCAGGTGTTTGGCCTGAAGATAACTTGTATTACAAAATAGCCGTACCATAGTTGTTAATGCCTGCTTGGTGCTGGAGAAATGTCAATTCGACAACTTCAGGGGAGACGAATTGACTTATATTAGCCGCACCTCCAAGGGTGTCTTGATCTTGACACGGGGCATTAGTGAAAGCCGAGAACTGCCCCTGACCAGCAGGTGGGTTCCCTTGATCTGCTATGTCTAAAGACCAGAGCATTAGAAGTTGCTATGCAAGGCAGCTTGTGCAGAAACTAAAACAGTTTCAGGACTGAAACAGGTACAGTACCTCGGTAGTCATATGTGCAGAGGTGATCAGCAGTGGAGGAACTAGGTTCAGGATCATTATTGTTTGCATTTGCACGTAACAAATCATTGTGCTGATCATGGCTCAAGCCTTCAAGTGGTACAACTGGAACACTTCCACCTGAAAGAAGATTTTCTGTATCAGGGTATTGCAAAGTAATATACTGCATGTCTCCATATCAGGGCCCCTTGGATCGCACAACATAGTGCGTTTTGATGATCTGCAAACACAGCACTCTGCAGAAAAGGAAACAATCACAGGACTGAAACAAGCACCTTGATAGTTATGCATGCTGGGGTGATCAGGAATGGAGGAGCTGGGAACTGGGTCATTGTATGCATTCGGACAAGATGACTCAGTCGGATCATGGCTCAATCTTTCAGCTGCTGCCGTTTCTAACAATTCAAAGAAAAATCGTGAGTATCAGGGTACCATCAAATTCTGTATGTCTGCAGTATAAGAAGAGAAGTAACCAGTATTCCCTAACCATGAACAGATGCGAGGCGAACAGAACAGTTTGGCTGTTCACTTGGCATATAGGATGGGCCAGCACCAATGCTAGTATATTTATCCACATGAATTGGGTTTGGAGAGTTGTCTGTCATTACATGATCCTCAGGGAGCTTATCAACTTCAGCATATGCGCCCCTCTATCAGCTGGTCCACTAACTCCTGCAGACAAATTAAACATACACGCTACATATTCACTTGGATGAAGAAAGTGGCGAACGAGTCTAATATGTTGACATGAAAACTTGTACCCGTTGAGCAGAACTAAACTTGTCATTGAGAGTGTAAGGACCACCAAAAAATTCTGCCCCAACAAGATAGTGCACACAATTGAAGAAAAGCTTCACATTTTTCTCTGTGCAAATAAATAACTTCAGCTTGTGCCTGCCTTCGAGAGAGCACTCTCTAGCGTGCTTTGTCATTTTCTTCCAGGGCTTGTGCTCCATGTTTACATTGAGAATCTACATACCGAGGAATAGCAATGATGTGATGTAAATAAACTGACTGAGAGTTTTGAAAGAAAATGTTTGAGATTTGATAAAAAAAAATGTTGAGTTTACTTTGGCGAGGTTACAAGGGTCCTTATTTAAAGCCTTTAAAAACTGTTCCACAGTAAAGATGTTCTTCTTCTCCAGCCTTTCGGCATAAACTTTGGCAATCTCCTCCAGACGATGCACGCTATCATTTAGTTTTGGAGGATGACTCTTTTCATTTGCTGTAAAAAGAAACGAAAATGGGAAAACTTGCTGTTAGCCTGCAGTCACAAATCAATCAAAGAGCAATCGAGTGCATGCTATGAATCTTGTTGGACCGTCGTTGTATGTCATAAATGGTCTTCCAACTTTGCCATGCAACAATAAGATGAAATTATACGGATATGACAACAAACCTACATTTGTTTCTGCGATCCTGCACAACTACAGGGTTCATGACGGCTTGTTGAACCTGGAGACCCGATACCTCACCCTCACAAACTCTTGCCCCAATGATGAACTTCCCGCCGCGAGCCTTGCACGACCCTTCTGTGAATTTGATGCTACCAAGATCGCACTTTCCATTCTTAAGCTGGGCTTTTGTTCCTTCACCGGCCAACACATTTCCGTTTCCATCACGCGAATGTGCTCTATGCTTATTGAACTTCTTTGGAGTCCAACTCTTTGGGGAAGCATGAGGAAAGTTGCCCTCAAGGGCGAAGATCTCAATTTGCAGGTTTGAAAGCCCGCCTGATTCGATCATCTTGTCTCCATTAAATATGCCAACCTTAATGGCTGTATTGCTCTCCGATTTTACCTCATCGTCATGGTAGACGGGAGTCTTCAGTCCATTGAGGAAGCGCAGCCGAATGCTGGTGTTTTCACAATTGCCTTGAGCAGTGGCCAATCCTGCAGGTTCAGCACTGGTGCCTTCCTGGTTTTCCTCTTGGCTGAAACAAAAAACAAGACATAATAACAAATTGGGGTTTAGTTACTTGAAAAGTTTGAACGTTTGTACCACCAGGATGGACAGAAAAGAAGGCCCCATACGTGAATTGCTCATCATTGAGGAGGTTATTAGAGGGCCGTGTTATATTATCCTGCATTAGGTGCAAGAAGTAGCAACAATAAATGAGGAGTGTCTGCCAAATCAAAAGGAAGAAAACAACAAAACAATGATCTTGTTTTGACACTCATGATCAAATTTGGGCAAGCAACAACCAACAAAGAATCTCAACAGAAACACTAGTGAGCAAGCATGTAAATATGGAAATAAGGCCAGACCACTTTGACGGTGAGATCCTGAATCCGCTCCTCGATTCTTTCCAGTTTCCTGCACCCAAATTGCCAGTCAACCCCCTAACCCCGAATTTCAGGGGTTCTGTAGTAAAAACACCGAAGGAAAAAGGGAAATGGAGTAGATGGATCACCTAAACACGGGATTGATGAAACGACAAATCTGGTCCCCAACCTGTCCAATCATATGAGTATCAGATACAGTAAGTCTCAGTCAAGTAACCAAGCATGGAATGCTTTCATAATGACACAACTCTGATAGTTGATAGAGATGAAAATGAAACACATGTAGGGGAAAAAACAGCAATAATCATCATCATACTTAGAAGTTCCTATAAATAAACTGCAAGGAGGCGAGCAGAAAGTCAGCAATTAGAAGAAACACTCTCCCAATATTTCCGATATATCCTGTTTATCTGTAGGTGCCGATAAGAAATAATCTATCTTTTTCATATAAATTTTGCTTAAATTTGTTTGAATTTACTTAAATTTAAGTTGAATTTTATTTAAATTTGGCCCGATATTTCCTGTTTATCCATGGCCCTCGGTAAATTTTGTTTTCCAACAATGAAAACCCTATTCATGGGTCGGATTGAATTGGTACGACGTACTAGTACAAGTACATCCACAGCAGGAAAATGGAAGCAAACCAAGCAGGGGAAGGATGGTAATGCATTGCTCTCACCACGCGACCGATTTGCGAGAGGGAGATGGGGACCCTGTCCGTGCTCCGACCCTTCCTGCACGAGCGCGGCATGCAACATCAGAGAGGGAGGGAGGGAGGGGGAGGGAGAGGGAGACACAGAGAAGGCACGCACGGTCGTTTCAAGAAGAGGACAACGAGGGCGATGGCGAGGAAGTGCTTCGGCGACGGCGGCAGCGGCAGCTCGGGGCTGTTCCTGCTGGGAGCCGGTCCCGCCCGCTGGCGCTTCTCCGGAGGCAGAGGCGGCGGCGGCGCACCGCCGTCGCCGACCGCCACGAACAGCGCCCTCTTGGGAGCCATTGGCCGGACCCGGACCCTCCCTCGCAGCCTGGTCGATCTCTCCCTGCTCCTCTGCTCTCTGGCTCCTCCTCAAGTCCTGGCCGCCGCCGCCGCGTCGGAGGGGACAGAGGAGCAAAAGCCTAGCCGCGCAGCAGCCAGCAAGCAATACGGAGCAGTCAACCAACCAAGTGGAAGTTCACTAGTGCTGTGCCGTTAACTAGGCCGGCGGGCTCCTCCGCGGGGCTCATCGGGTATTTATAGCCAGGGCCAGGGATGTCACGTTGGTTATCCCATGTAGTATTGCATAAGAGTATTCGGATGCTAATAATAAAACAAATTATATAAATTCTCAGGAATCCGCGAGACGAATTTATTAAACTTAATTAATCCGTTATCATCATATATTTATTGTAGCACCACATTGTCAAATTATGGACTAATTAGACTTAAAAGATTCATCTCGCAAATTAGTCGTAATCTATGCAATTAGTTATTTTTAGTCTATATTTAATACTCCATGCATGTGTCCAAACATCCGATGTGACAGGGACTAAACTTTAGGGGAGGAACTAAACAAGGCCTTATCTAAGATGTACTCTCTTAATACTAAAAAATGAAGTCGTTTTGGACAGCGACACGGTCTCCAAAGCATAGCTTTGACTACTTATTTTTATAAAGATATTTATAAAAAATGATATATGTAAATTTTTGTGAAAGTATTTTTTAAGACAAATCTATACATATGGTTTTTACATTTCCAAACTCAACGACTTAAAAGTTATTCATGATTTATATTTCTAATGTTTGATCAAGCCTTGTCCAAAATGACTTCATTTTTTAGAATGGAGAGAGTATCTTCTATGAAGGAGTTGAAGCCCAGTAGAAAACATTTGGCAGAACGACTTCTTTGCAATAACTTCTTTGAAAAGACTAATAGAAGGTATATTATTTTTTGGGACTCTTGTGTTTGTATTCTTGTTTTGTATCGAAATTGTGATTTTGTCCCTGTTTTTTTTACTTTGTGAATTTACCCCTATGATTTCAAAACGAAGCACCAGTAGTTTGCCCCTGCTTCCTCATCTACCCCTAACGGTGTTAAACTTTGTACAAAAGGATATGAATGCCCATGCGATTTTGCCCCTATTTGTTATGCCTAATTGTTATTTTACCCTGATTTGGAATTAGACTTTTTTTATTATATGTTGACAATTGATTAAATTTGGTCAAACATATTTGGCACAGCTTGCAATTATTTGAACTCAGATTTAATGTTGATAAATATTCAAAATTTTAGGACCAAAAGGTTCATAATGATGACAGATGTAACGAGCCGCGTGCACGAGCCGGCAGGTCGGCCCCGTGGTGGCTCCTCGTCGTCGGCGCGTGCGCGGGCGCGGGAGGGCGACGGCTCCGGGTCGTAGGCAGCACCAGCACGAGGGAGGAGGAGGAGCGCCATCCGACAGAGATATATACCAAACTGGTAGAGTTATATACCAAGAATTAGATCTCTGCCCTTGAACCAAACTGGTAGAGTTATATACCAAGAACAAATTTGATTAGGGTCGACTAAAAATTTTACATGAAAAATTCAGAGAAATTTGGCAAAGAACAGAGCTACTCCAATCAAACACAGGCTCTGCTGAACTCGTTAGCTGGCTGCTCTGTTGGCCTGAAGAAACAGCGGCGCCGGTGGGAACTGCACAGCGGGCGGGGACGGAGCTCCGTGGGTGGCCGGGGATAAGAGGATGGCCATGGCCGGGGATGAGAGGAGGGGCGGAGGAGAGGCGTGGCTGGCCCCGACAGCCGGCGGCAGGGACACGCTGACGGAGAATGGGAGCCACGGGGATTTGCTCGTTCGTCGAGATGCTCGGAGACGCCACCGCCAGGCTGCTCGTCCATCGAGCACACACCGGAGCCAGGGACGTCGGCGAGGAAGCGTCGTCGCCGAGTTGCTCGTCCACCGCGGACTCCTTTCTCGCTCAGATCCCAGGCGAGAGCGCGAGTAGGACGAGCAACCCTCATGGATCCCAGGCAGGACAGATCCAAGGCAAGGCGGTGGGGGGCTGTGGCGGTTTGGGGGACGACAACGAGCAGCCGACCTCGTGGCCCCGGGGAGCAGCGCCTGGGGTGGGTGGGCGCGCTGGAGGAGGTGGTGCGCGCTGGGTGGAGAGCGCCTCAGGCTTCACGGAGGAAGCCGCCTGGAGAGGAGCTCGCTCAAGGAAGCTTCAGACTTCGCATGGAGGGGAGCTCACGGAGGAAGCTCACAAGAACCCCTAGCTGCAACGCCGGGACGAGCGGGCACCGGAGTGTGGCGGAGGGAGGAGGGGGGAGCGGGAAGGAGGGAGGATGAGCCACGCCAGGGGGGGAGCAGGAAGGAGGGTGGAGGAGCTACGCCGTCGACGGTAGCTACGCCGCTGCCAGGCCGCGAAACCTTCTGCGAGCCGCGACTTCTCATCGGGAACGGGTCGAGCGAACGGGTGAGAAAGGAGAAAGGGACTGAGGGCCACAGAACTAGTTGCTTGTACTGGTACAAGCCATCCTAGTTAAGCAGCAAACAGAACAAAATATCCCAAGTACCAGCTCATAAGGTGCTAAAGTGCTGAAGTTCTCTAATGGAAACTTGATTCATCACAGCCACTCAAGAGTAGTACAAAACAAAAAAAGTCACAAGACATAGTTAGGGAAGGGGAGAGCAGCGCTGCACAAAACTGCAACATAGAAGGTGGTAATTAGATTACTATAAGTATGATGGCTGCAGTCACTAATATGTATATCACAGAAAAAAGAGCAAACTTGTTCAACGTTAGTAAAAGTTGCCTCCTCTAGAATCTCAGAAATTCCAGATGACAATAGGTGACGAGAACGTTCACGTGTGTTGTACAATTTATCCCTGACATCACCAAGTATGACACGATATGGTTCATTTGGAGGAACTTGCTTCCAGAATTATGCGAGCAACAAAGCAACAACACTCCATGTTAGGAGTAGGACATAAAAAATATATTAAGTCTATTGAAGAACTATAGTACAATAGATTAATGATTCAAATGAAAGAGGTTTGCAGCCTCCAGAACATATTTCGAAGCTTCTCTCACCTAGCTTTGCTACGTAGGATGTATTAAATTGAAATTATTTTCTACAGACTCAATTTTAGCTGCTTTGACCTAACATATGCAGTTTCTAAAATATCTGATGAGTTCAAGCTTGACTGTGTATCCAAACCATATATAAATTATAAATGGCAATTAGCATGCACACTTTTCTCGAATTAGTATGCACACTTTTCAAAAGGTATACAGAATCAAGATGTGGTTAGCCATTATACATAATCCTACGGTGAACCATAGACAATAAGAATAAAAATACAAAAATGGCATAATTAAAAGGTCATTATCCACACAGGCACAGTAATGGCATCCTTCAGAGTTAGATCAGAACTCTCATTTAAGTGAATAACTTCACATGGCCAAAGCAGAAAAAAACAAGAATAATAAGCAAATCAACATATATGCAGTTTAATCCAAATTCCCTTGTTAGATTACAGCTCTGTTACCTATATAGTGCTTTGCAGCTTTTCTTGAAGAGCGATGTAGTTCATCTGCACGGATCCGAATCCGGGAGAGGGAGGGACGGCGCCGGGGAAGAAGGCCGGGGAGGGGTGGCGCCGGGGAAGAAGAAGGTCAGGGAGGGGCGGCGCCGGGGACCACCACCACCACGCCAGCACCACGAAGCCCGCCGCCATGCCGCACGTCGCCCACCGCCCGCCACCAGCAGAGCCCAGATTCGGCCGCCACCGGCCTCCACTGGTTGGATTGGAGAGGAGGAGGAGGGGCGAGGGGGGCCACCACCACCACCACCACACCAGCACCATGAAGCCCGCCGCCACGACGCACGCCACCCGCCGCCCGCCACCACCAGAGCCCAGATCCGGCCGCCACCGGCCGGATCCGGGAGAGGGAGGGCCGGATCCGAGAAAGGGAGGGACGGCGCCGGGGAAGAAGAAGGCCGGGGAGGGGCAGCGCCAGGGAAGAAGGGGAGGGGCGGCGGCAGGGAGGGGAGGGGGCTGGGGCAAGTGTCGAGGGGAAGAAGGGGGGGCGCTAGGGTCGGGAAGAAGAAGGAGGGGAGGGCGCGGGGTCCCAGGTGCGGAGGAAGAAGAATGGAGGGGAGGGCGCCTGGTTCAAAAGCGGAGGAAGAAGAAGGGAGGGGAGGGCGCCGGGTCCCAAAAGTGGAGGAAGAAGAAGGAGGGAGGGGGGCGCGGGGTTCAAAAGCGGAGGAAGAAGAACGGAGGAAGAAGAAGGGAGGGGGAGGGGGCACTGGGGTTCGGGTGCGGAGGAAGGTAAGAAGAAGGGAGGGGTCCTGGTGCTCGTTTGAATTTTTCTATGCGTATGTATATTTTTCTGTGCGTTTTTAAGAACCGATAGAATAAGTTGTATTTTTCTGTGAGTGCTGATTTTTTCCATGTGTGTATTGTCACGCACAGAATCATAATTTTTCTGTGGGTTTTCGTATTTTTCTGTCGGGATATTTTGAAACCGACAGAAAAATCATAATTTTTCTGTGCGTACCGAAAACACACACAAAAAATTAATCACCCACAGAACAATTCGAGTTTCCAGTAGTGGCACGAAGGGTCGAGCACGACTACACTGCAAGCGAGCGAGGTGGCGGGCTAGCGGGCGCCGTGTCCGAGAAGCTTGGCCAAGCGACGCTGCGGGCCTAGGGCCACCGCGACTGTGAGAAGGGTGAGGCAGAGTGAGCTCTGGCAAGAGATATCTAGGCGCTGCCCAAGAAGGCCAGAATTCGTCCCGCTCTGAATCATGAGCTCGAGCTCGCATGCTGGCCCAAACCCTAACGATCGGAAGGCGGCGATTTACGAGGCGTGGGCGGGAGGTAGCTCACTGACAAGCGGGAGTGGCACGGGCGAGAGGCGGCTCATCGGTGCGCGGGAGGGGAAGGAAGAAAGAGAGACGGTGGGGAAGGAGAGGGGTAATTTTCACACGATTTGCTTGGGACAGGCAAAA